TTGATGGTTGGGTTTCTAGATGGATTGCTTAGGATATCCCGCTTGGACATAAAACAATTAAATGATCACAAACGTATAACCACGTAAAATGGTCCTTCCAGTGTTACGCAAGCAAAGCCTCCGACGGAGCTTTACTTACTTCCATAAACAAGAGGGCTGAACCCGAAACTGACCAATTTCCAAATACGGGGAAAATGTTTTTAGACGCAAGATCAAGTACATTTAGAGTTGCGAAACAAAATTGTTGGACTACCTAGATGTACAAATAGGGGCATCTAGTCCTCGACGGGGCGAAAAACATTTCCCAAAAACATAATGAAACGTTTGATAACAGTAAAAATCAAACAAACTTTACTTATCAAACATTCGTTCGTATCAAAATACTTTATAAAGTCATGCATGAGCTCATAGAGCTGATCCATCGTCATTGGATTCACAAACTTCTCGTAAAGCTCATCGCCAAGTTTCTTCAGTGCCGTTATAGACGAAATGCTAGAAACGTTAACCAGACTGACGGAAGACATCAAAGTTGGACATTGAAATTACCGAGAATTTTTGGCCATCAAGGGCAAAAATGTGTTGCACATGTCCAGAGTAGCAAAGAAATTTGTAGCAAGAGTGACCCGCGCTTGCTCACCAAAAGGGGCAGTCGAATCATTCTATAAAGTCAGATAGATGAGTATTCAAAAGGCCGTCCCGAAGAAACCAACCTTATAGCCCATACCCGCGTTGTTAACGAGGATGTTGATGCCTTCGGGATAACTCGATTTGACGTATTCAGCAAGCTCGTCACGGCTCGACTTGTCTGTGATGTCCAGCTGGTTAAACTTTACAGGTAGACCCTGTTTACTAAACTCCACGACGGCTGCTTGGCCCAACGACACATTACGGGCTGAGTGAAAATTTGATATAAAAGGGTCCGGTGACGGGTGACTTACCGGTAAGGTATACATGCCAATCTGATTGCGGCGTCAGACACTTTGCCAGACGTTGCACAATTCCATGGCCGATGCCCTTGTTTGCACCAGAAACCTAAAAGAGAAGATACTGTTAAATTGACTGTATAAACATTTTCTATCAAAGAATTTTCAAGGTCGCTGCTTTGCGAACGATATAAGTGAGTTTAACAGTTTATGTTTGCATTACAGAGGGCGCTGAATGGCTTTGGTGCTGGCTGAAGAGGCGCCTTAGTTGGTTTTAAATTCTCTTTGTTCGGCTAGCACCAATCTCGTCCTGCCGACGGTGCTGGAATAGTCTTTGAATGGAATAGGCAGGCAAACTGGGGAGTTATTATCAGTCCCTATAGCCAATTAATCGGAAAAATCCACAGAACTGCCATATTCTTCCACTTTTCCTAAAACCAGATCACTGTCTTTGTATTTTAATGCTTTAAATCATGACGATCGATATCTCGATAAACTAGGCCAAAAGTCCTTGTAGCAATGGCCTTGCGTTACGCAAGGTCCAATGGTCCTATGCCCATCTTTTTGCCAGGCGTTGGGCGCACGTGCGCACTGAAAGTGCGCGCTCGTGGTTTAAATGGCTAGGGCAAAAAAACGTTTCTTCTGATCTGAGGAAATGTGTTCTAATTTTGGGGACGGCTGCGTGCATCAAGGTCACTCTGAGCAGGCTCATTCTAGTCAAATTGTAGACGTAGTTTGTTACTTGCTGTCCGAATACCTGCATGCGCACCTACGCGTAGGGTTTTTTGGGGGAGAGGGAATGGGGGGCTTGTGTGTGCGTGTGTTTGACCATCGACTTCGATGAAGGCTTGTAACGTCCGGCAGTCAATGCATGGAATGCCGCTCAGATCTGCATTCACGCAGCACTCGGACCAAAGAATCTAGGGGAATGCAATCAAGGTGGGGCCTGAAATATTTACAAAGATGGTAAAAGTGCGTGTTTTCGTTCTCAAAAATAAGTTTGATCTATCCAAAAACAAAAACCGACCTAATTAGCTCATTATTCGAACTCGATTCATGATCATGAGTCGGCTCCTTTCATGTATATGAGCTGCGCAGCTCATGAAGAGATATAGAGTATAATCATAATGAGACTCACGATAGCCAATTTCATGTTAATCAAAGACCTAAAAAACAAAAGCATGGAAAACATAAAGTTAATGGTTAGAAACATCGACATTCATGGGTTGGATGCAAGAACGTGCATAGAAAAATTTCACCTCAATAGGTGAATAAGCAATCGTAAACTACACCCACATAAAGGCCACAGCCTCCAACTACCTTTTAGCCTATTAAAAGCATATCGACCAAAGGACCACGATGTGTGCGCCAGTGAAGGTTCCAAATAGGTAGACAAAATCCAGCAGCTACCTAGTCACTAAGAAGTGATAATTTACAAATTTAAATGATGATTCAAGAAGTGTAATTAGAAATCTAATATTCTTTCCTATCCG